GGGGGGGGGGGGGGGGGGGGGAGGGGAGGGGAGGGGAGGCGATGTAATGCCAGTTGTAACTTGGTTTATTTGTGAAATTTAATTTGCCTCCCTTAGGATGAAGTACCAATTGAATAAATTTTGATTTTTTCATACAACTTAATATGCTAAGCCTGAAGTGAAAAACCAAAGTCCTGCGAAAAATTCATCATAAATTAGAACGTCTGCATTAAAAATAATCTACGTATGATCATATGAAAACCTTGCCAATCATTATCCTGCAAGTAGTCTCATTCCGTCTCAAAAGTTAGTTCCATATTAACGGCCAAAATGCAAAACCCCGTATCTCCATTGCGGTGTTTCAAAATTTCCGATACCATTTTATTTTTTCGAGGAGAAACAGGCCAAATTTGTAATTTGAAATTTATACCGCATATTCTGCAAATAGAGAAGAAAAATCAAGGAAGTTTTCAAGAAATTACGTTGACTAGTTTTCCACCAAAAAAAAAAAAAAAAAAAAAAAAAAAAAAAAAAAAAAAAAAAAAAAAAAAACAACCAGTTGACAGGAAGTCTGTAACGTCGCAAACGGAGGTACATAGTTTCGCATTTTGGATATCGATATGTTCAAACCTCACTCACTATTCGGCAGGAACTTAAGGCTCCTTCAATTAGGCTGCATAGGCCACATTTCGTGTTCTCAATTCAATCAAATTGCCTATGTCATCATTTGAAGGTTTTCTAAGCTGTCGTACTCAAAAAGATCGCAAGCTTCAAATTGTATGGTCCCGTACCTATGGGTTATTTTCCTATCTATATTCCCTTTTTGTGTAAGGGGGTGGTGAATCAGGGTCTCATTACTTATTGCGATATTATCAGTTTTAAAAAAGGAAAAGCCAATATGTCCCAAACGGAGAAGTCTATTTTATTCAAATTTATTAAAAAATTAAAAGAAAGAGATAAACCTAACAGATAGTATAAAATTTACACATGACTGAATATTTTTAACAAGTAAGAGGTCAGATATCTTACTCACTGCTTTTCTCAAGGAGGCCATTCTGGGTCCCCTCTTTGCTATTTTGCAGTAAATGTAAACTACTTATAATATTACACAATCACTAAAGAATCACCTGGAGGAGCAAATCCTCAAAATTGAACAAATTAGTATTAAACCTATTGCAGAAGACATGTTCATTATAGTAAAATGTACATTTATAAAATCTAATAATGCAAAGAAAAACTAAAAAGTTAAACAATACAAAAGAACAAAAAAAGAGGACGAAACATAACCATTAAGTCAATAAATTAATTCAATAATTATTCACAGCTCAAAAACTAAAACTGAACCGAGTAACTGTCTGTTTTGATAAAAATTTATTTGAAAGAATAAGTATGCTAGAACCGTCCCAGACACTCAGAAACTTTGATTATGTCAGACTTTATTCACAACATTTAACTAACTAACGCCTCTAAACTTCTCACGCAACTGCGATGCTTCTCAAACGGAAATACTAACAATTTCCTAACTGTCAGGCTCTAAAATTATAACGAAAATTTCAATTTTAGAATTTAAATTTTCTCACGAAAATTAAATACGAAAGGTTCATAACGAACTAACGCACGACTAAAAGCTGGTAGGCTCAGCACATGAATATGATAAATGCAATTTTAATAATAAAAAGAGAGAGAGAGAGAGGGGGGGGAACCGCACTGCAAGTTTCAAGATCTCAAAAAGGTTTGATGACATTAAGAAACTATACATGCGAGTGCGTAGCGAAAAAGTTGGTTTTTACCCTCCAATTTTTTTCACTCCAAGAGGGGTTTCATGCAGAGACTAGGTTAACTCAAAAATACGGACGGGTCAACACCCACATTTCTCCAAAGATGTTTAGTATTACCTAGGTATCCTTGATGTATTGGATAACACGAAAAAAAGATGTGATTAGGTTTCATCACACATTCCTGATACCATACTGATGTACATTTGGATAATAGGTGTAGAGCAGAATATGGATGACTACACGAAAGTCGGGAAATGCGTGTCTCAATTACAACGTTTAAAAGATTCCGAATATGTTTATACTTTTGAAAGAAAATAAAGCACACTTACGCATATTTTTTAATGAATGAGAAAATTTCAACGAAAACGTCTTAGTTTTCTTCTAGAAAATAAATCATGAGTAGGAAGACTTGCATCGTCGCTACGTAATAAACGCATTTTTAAACTTCGGCCATCGATATACTACCAGAGCACTGATTACCTCAATTTTTTTCTTAAGTCTGAAAATCTAATTGTGAATTCAGTTGGAATGAAACTACTTAACTATCGTTCATCCCATGCATCGGTCGCAAGCCAACATTCAAATCAAATCAGGCATTTTGAGAAATGCATTAGCAAATGGTGAAATAATCTCCGTCAGATTAAAGTTGAGAGAAATTTGCTGGAATACGAAGTATTTACCATTTTCAATCCTAAAATTTCTCAGGAACAAATATTGAATTCCATAAAATTTTGCAATATAAACGAGATTTACAATTCACACATTAAATACATTTTGTAATTAAGAATTCTATTTCAAAAACACGGAAAACCTCGTTAATCCGTAAAATTTAACCAGCTGCTTGAGCATTTATGAAAATGCCTGATTGGATATTTGCCTGCGACACAGGTACCTTCTCATAAAGAGAATCTTGTTGACAGAAACCATATTAATTGTCCAAAGTAATTTGTCACAGTAGTTGTATGAGGTTCAACAGATGGGCTCAGACATAAACTTCTTTTTTTGATTTGCTTTGAGACGCTACGCTCGTCTTGCGAGACCTCTCCTCGCCACCCGAAATACTTCCCGACGAACTACCCCCGCACGCACTATCGTCCTTGTCACTTGCCGTCACGTCGGTCATGACCGCCGAATTGGGGGCCGATTCCGATCGGTCGACGCCAATCGATGTGAAAAATGGTTGACTCATGGAAACTGCAGTGAGGGGCACGTTCACGGCGACGGGGAGAGCTTGTTTCGGCATGCCACTGGACAGTAAGGCTGGTGGTAAGACCGTTTTGGCAAGTGCAAGACTGCTGAAGCCGCTGCTGTTTGAGGCCACCGAGGTTATTGTACCATTGTTACCCTCCAGCTCTTGGATTGGAGATAGAAGCATCTGAAAAAAAGAGCATAAACCATTCCTTTAATGCAAACTCTGGACCTTTTCCGTAGAAAGACCTGCGGACTAATTGGGCTGCATTTTGTAATTTGGACCTGTAAATTCTGACTCATCTGAAAAAACACTTATGTGCATTGGGAAACTAATGGCACATAAGTTGTTTTTAAACCGGGCCGGAATTTATAGGTCCAAATTGCAAAATGCAGTCCAATTGTTGAAATTGATGGACAAAGTAATAGACAAAGAAGACACATCAGCTAATGCCTAAGTTAATTGGGCAATTTACTTTTTTACATGGAGACGGTTGAGCGGATTTCTGTGTAAATTTCAGTGAATTTTCTGCATAGTACGAAGCAATTTCCCTACAACTTTCAAAGGAATCCGCACAAACGCTCTCTTGTAAAAAATTAAATTGCCCAATTAAATTAGGCAATAGCTGATGTAGATTGGTACCGCCATGGGCCGCGGCCCGAATTTTGCAATTTTTTTAAATGTAGCTATAAAGAAAAATCGGATTAAGAAAAAAAACTACAAACGAGAAAAGGTGACAAAATCTCTCATTTCCTGAGAGTATATATCTAATTTTGTCGTCTTTCTGTGATACAATGGACAACACTAGAGTGCGGCTTATTTTCGTCATGTCGGAAAATCGACGAGGTCCGGGTGGCAATCGATGATACCTATGAAAATAATAGGCTGTATAAAATTTGAGCCAATTTGAAGCTTTTTTAGCTGATGCTCAAAGGGATCAAAAGTAAGGGGCAAAATTACATTGGTTTAAATGGGCGGAAAAACGCCTGATCTGCGCAAATGCGTTTTTTGGATCTAAAATGCGCTTGAATGAAGAAAACCTGACCAACTCTTAGAGAGGCATCTAGGGGCCCATTTGAAACGAGAAAATCACACTTTTGACCCATGGGTGAGGGTAGGGGGGTCACGGCGTAGCCAGTTTTGAGGCGCCGCGCCCGGAGCTGAGAATTCGTTTCTGATCGAACTCAAAATAAGTGTTCCGAAGTTGAAGAGGCAAATTTATCTCACAACTTGATGAGAAATAATGTATGATAGTTGTTTTAGCCCTTGAGAACTATACTTGGCCCTTTACAATGCTACCTCACATACTATTTCTCGAGCCTGGAACAAAATTGGTGTATATATTTTATCTTGCACTCGAGTGATCCCCCTACCCTCACCCATGGGTCAAAAGTGTGATTTTCTCGTTTCAAATGGGCCCCTAGATGCCTCTCTAAGAGTTGGTCAGGTTTTCTTCATTCAAGCGCATTTTCGATCCAAAAAACGCATTTGCGCAGATCAGGCGTTTTTCCGCTCACAACCAATGTAAACCAATGTAATTTTGCCCCTTACTTTTGATCCCTTTGAGCCTCAGCTAAAAAAGCTTCAAATTGGCTCAAATTTTATACAGCCTATTATTTTCAAAGGTATCATCGATTCCCACCCGGACCTCGTCGATTTTCCGACATGACGAAAATGAGCCGCACCCTAGGACAACACCTTTAAATAGTCGAGTTAAGACCAAGAGAGAAACTGAACACGGAATTTGGCCTGAAACGCCGCGGCGCAGAGAGCAATGATGACGAGAACTTGAGATGAAAAGGAAGAGCCCTCGGCGCGGCGGTCGGCATGTAACACATATTGGCGCCTACAAGACTGCACGAATACTTCACGCATTGCGCCAAAGACAGTGCGGTCAGCAGCGGGCGGCGAGAAACGCATAGCGCCTGCAAGGCTGCATGAATACTTCACGCATTGCGTCAAACGCAGTGCGTGCAGCAGCGGTCAGCGTGAAACGCATAGCGCATACAAGGCTGTAGAAATACTTCACGAATTGCGCCAAACACAGTGCGGTGAGCGCAGCGCGGCGGCGGAAGTTAAAAATATTAAACCACATTTATGTTTGTTCTTTCATAATTTTCTCGTTCATTTCATATAAATGGTAGGCCTTGTCCACACAGAGATTGACAGAGACCACAGAGTTTCGTGAACTTTTGCTACTAGTGTTGACAGGGCTTTCGCAAAAAATGTGTCCTATACGAGTAAACGCGTCTTATGCACCACTCCCCCTCCGGCACGTTCACTTGATGCTTTTTATTAGAGTACCTTTATAGCGAGAGTATGGACAGATCGCTTGATGGAGAGCTTAGGGCCCAAAAGTGCAGCCACCCTTCTGAGCAACTTCTAACACACGAAATTTCACTGCCAGCCAATAGATTTCAATTCTAACCAAGATGGCCAAGAATGTACAGAAATGAGCGTTCTTTCGCAAAAATAAGTAAAATTGAGCAAAAAGTAAGCCAATCACATGCTTTTTAAACGACGGTTCGTAACAATTGTATTTGTAAATCGCTATATGGACATTTGAAATTCATAGGTTGGCTGCATTTCTGGACCCTAACTTTATTCGCGGAGGCATCGGTGAAGGCCTGATGAATTTTCGGAGTTTCAAATCTGCCTATACTCTCGCTATACAGGTACTCTAGTTTTTATTGATGTTTCAAAACGAATGAGAAGGGGGCGGCAAAATACAGGCGGCCCATGGGCGGTAAGTAAGTACATCCGGCCCTGCTTAGAGTAGGATCAGATCCTACTTTTAAGGTCAAGACGCGGGTGTACTAGCCCTTAAACGTTGTCCAATTAGCTCGCAGGATTGAAACCTTGAATTACAAACAATTACATACCTGAACGTAGGGTAGTTGATCGGTGGAGTTGTGAACGGAGGTGGTGATGAGAGGCTGGGACACGATGGCCGACGTCACCGGTAGCGTTGTTACTGCGTTGCTCGCGATGAGTGCGCTGGCTGTGCTGTGATTAAACTGAATGTTGTTGTTCATCTGGCTGATTCTCAGCTCCTTGTCCAATGGGTTCTCTTTCGTTTCCTTCGTCACGTCCGGCGTCGGGATTCGAGGTCGGTTCTTCAGTGTTACTGCAAAACCACAATCCCATGCTTAATTTTCATCCTGATTTGGGAGTATTTGAATCAAAAGCAACTATATCTTTTCTGATATCGTCACCTCCCAGGCAAAGTATCACAAGCGCCATGCGACGTTTAAAAATTTCCGCCGCCATTTTATTTTTTTTACTGAGAAATTGTTGGTTGAATCTGTTCGAAAATTTCACTAAATTTTATCGGCAGCACAAAGAAAATTCGGTGTAATTTTCGGACAGCTTCGTTGAACAATTTCTCTGTAAAAAAATATAATGGCGGCGGAAATTTTTAAACGTCGCATGGCGCTTGTGATACTTTGCCTGGAAGGTGATGATATGAGCTCTGAGATCCATAAGAATACATGCATAACAGGGTTCATGTCACTATGGATATGGTTACTTTTGATTTAAATACGTCCATTTTTGAGTAGATAACTATTAGCGCTCCCACGAATGCTCGTTGCCTATCCAGTAAAATTGAAGGCAAAATTAAAGTTGGCGTTTTTTGTTTAAAATTTACAAATCACCTATGCTACCGTTCTAGGGAGGAACACCTCATGAGCATTCGAATGTTGCCAAATTTCCTCTCGGAAAATGTTGATTTTTGATGAAAGTTATGCATATTTTCCACTTAAATTTTCAGATATTTTAGATCAAATTAAGCACACGAGAAATTTTCTCGCGAATTCGTGATTTGTCGGAGGAAATTTGGCAACACCTGGGAGCCCATACGATGTTTCCCCTTGGCACGGCAGCGTAGACCCAATCAAGGCAAAGAGCAAGATGAGCGTGCGCTATTCGAGGAGGCAACTATTCGTGCTCTCCAGTAGATTTAGTGCCTATCCAGGAGTATTGAAGGCGAAATAATAAAGTCGCCGAGAGATTGACACGTCCTCCATAAATTAATGTAAACTGGACGTATTTCTGCCAAACGGAACTGTAGACGAGTAGAAAAGATAGGGTATGCTCTAGAAAACTGCATAAGAAACAATGTTAATGTGGGAGTGATTCCCTTTGGAGAAATGGAAAAATGGGATTTTATGTTCTGTCAAACGGAACTATGTGCCGACTAAAAGCGGCATTCATGAACCATGGGCATGTGACATTGGCGTTATGGATAGGGTTTCTGAGTTAAAGAGGACCACGCGGAGCCGCGGTGGTGGCTCTGTCGCTCAGAGGCGGACCCAGCAATTTGGCAACACCGGGTTTGCTCCATTTAAATCAATGCTAAATAATCGATTCTTGTCGGAGCACCTGAACCCTCCAAGAATCGATACATTTCCATAGGTTTAAATGGAGAAAAGGCAATGTTGCCAATTTGCTGGATCCGCCAATGCCGTCGCTGACGTCACTGGCGCTTTATAATTCCCATTTATTCTGTCGGACTTTGACTAACGAGCACACCCCTTCTTTTCCACCTATCTTCGGTTCCGTTTGGCAGAAAAACGTCGAATTGAGAGTATGAAATTTCGGGAGTTACCTTGTCGGCCGAAGCGCTGTCCGCGCGCGGATTTGCGTCCGACGAACCTGTCGTAGAGGCTCATCTTCTGCTGCTCGCTTTTGGCGTGAGCTGAGATCTGGTTCCCGTTGGCCTGGCCGGAGGGCGGGAGACCGGCCTCGACGTTGTTGGCGTTGGCGGCGTTGCCCGCGTTGCCGTTGTTCGGGCTCGAGTAGACCGAGTTGTGCCGCGTCCGACCGAAGAGTCCGCCAGAAGAGTACGTCGACGAAGACCGGAACGAGCCCACCCGCAGCCGATGGAACCAGTTCTTGCTTCGCCGTTCCACCATTGGAGTGTCCACGCTCTCCTGAAGTCCAACAACCAACGAAAATTGGTAACAACCAACAGATAGATTGAGAACCAACTTATCCAAAGACAAAAATCGAATTCCCCAGCGGGCCGATTATTATTGAAATTGATAGAGAAAGCTATAGACAAAGAAGACAAAAGGGATATGGAGGGACCCTACTGGTGGACGCGGGTGGTTGCAGTGGACAAAGGAAGTAGGTAATAGACTAACAAACGGCAACCCACAAGAGACCCAATAGTTATAGTCCATCAAGTTCCTTAGTCTATGGGAAGGACCTACTTCAACCGATGGATTCGCTCCATTTCCCCTTTTTCTTCTTTGTCGATCCCTTTGCCCATCAATTTCAACTATCAGCCCGCAGGTAGGTTGGGCTCAAGGTATGTGAAACGAAGGTACCTCCCTATTCAAGCACCCGAAATCGACAAAACGCTCATTTCCGTTCGTTTCGTTTCAGCCGAGGCGGAAAATTTGAAACCACGGGGAGATAGGAACAATAAAAGTCGATTATGAAAATGCCAATTTTTCATACCCGATTCTTATGGGTCCAATGCTCCCCTCGCATGGGACCACTGGACTAATGAGAGTTGGATACTGCAGATTCGGCACTTTCTTCCAAACTTTCCGCCAGAGCTGAAACGGAGGGACCAGACCGGAGCGTTTCACTTACCTCTAGCTCGTATCACATGATCAAAGTAGAGCTCTCAAAGTGGCTCTGATTCTCTAATTTTTCAGCCAGTTCTGCACGGAATTTTTTGAAAATTTCAAGATCTGCTTTTGTAAATCTTTTTATGTAATTGAAATTAAATCGGTCAATTTTTAATCATCCGAACGTTTCTAGAAGTCTTCCGAATGAATAATGTTGTCATTAGACTGAGAACGGAGGCTTCTTCCAATAAAATTTTCCGGCCGAAAGCCTCTGAGCCCGTTTTCTCAAAACTTCAATTTTGCACTAACTGCTTTCTTCGCTATCTTGGCAGAGTACCAGGTCCGTGGTGTGCTTTCGGGAGAATTTGATGAGGGAGAGATCATGCAAGTTTGACAGAAAATAAACAAAAAATTTACATAGTCGGCGTATGTGTCGTCAGGATTGACTGACTTCCTGCGCGAAGACACAACGTTGGCGTAGAGACCATCCGACTCCTTGACCTTGTAAAAGTCGGCCGAGGCTTTTGGCTCCGAGCGGCGGTAGTGCTCCGAGGCGACTGTGTAGGGTAGGTCTTTGGGCACCACCTCGTCCCAATATTGGTCCTTGAGCAGCTCCGGGTGTTCCTCGTGCATCTCGTCCACAATCATGTACGCAGCCTGAACAGATGAAACAAGAGCATTTATCAGTGAAAAAACTATCATTTGGACGTCAGAACATGAATACTAGAACGTATCTTTGGAACATAGTGACTGCTATTCTACACAAAACTGTCCACAAACTGGCTTGTCGGCCTCGTATGGCGTAGTGGTTGTATCGCTAGCTCTATGATCGGGAGGTCCCAGGTTCGATTCCCGGCCAGGCGACCCGAGTTTGATGGTCTCAACCAATGGTTGCCTGAGACTGGTTGTAGGGACGGAGGAGGGGCGGGACTAAAGCGCAAGGATTAGCCCTTGTGGGCTACTTGAAGTAGTAAAAAAAAAAAAAAAAAAAAAAAAAAAAAAAAAACTGTTTATGAAAACTAGTGGGGGAACTCTTTGTAGTTTTGCTTTACTTCGAGCGACGACTATTCGAACATAGCTGTCAAGGGTTTGCATACCTACCGTATTTGAAGGCGGTTTCTGTGAGCGCGTCAGAAAGTGGCACTCTTGGCAGGTAAAGAGACACTCTTCAAAGTGTCACTTTTCTTCAAGCGATAACTATATTCGAACACAGCAGTTAAGGGGTTACATACCCATCGCATTTGAAGGCGGTTTGTGGCAGCGCGTCGAATATTGAACGGAGAATCCAAGAGAGTCTTGAAAGTTTAACTTTAACTCGAGTGATAACTATTTGAACATAGCAGTCAAGGGGTTGTATAACCACCGCATTTTAGTACGATTTTTATGAGCGCGTCAAAAAGAGGCTAGACACTCTTTAAAGTGTCACTTTACCTCAAGCGATAACTATTCGAACACAGCAGTCGAGGGGTTGCATACCCACCGTATTTGAAGGCGCTTTTTAAGAGCGCGTCAAACAGTGGTTGCGCACTCTTAAAAGTGTCACTTTACCTCAAGGGATAACTTTTCGAACACAGCAGTCAATGGGTTGCATACCCACCGTATTTGAAGGCGCTTTTTGTGAGCGCGTCAAAAAGTGGCTAGACACTCTTCAACTCTTCAAAGTGTCACTTTACCTCAAGCGATAACTATTCGAACACAGCAGTCGAGGGGTTGCATCCCCAGCGTAATTTAAGGCGGTTTTTGCCCGAGCGTAGAATAGTGCCTAACCTACTCACTCTCGTTTTATGAATCGATTGATACGAAAACCGGACATGTCTCTCATCTGATAAAATGCATTCAGTAGTGAAGAAAGTATTATTTAGCACTTATTTTTTTTTTTTGTAAAAAAAAAAGGAGGCCGCATTCATCGTCAATCCCTATCCACTGCTCTTTTTTTGTGGAAATCTTACATGGTTTGCATTGTGATGAAGGGCGGTTGAAGCAGGGGCCAAATTTTGTTGGTCCTTTCGCGGTACTTAGATATACTTAGGACGAGTTTCGACTGCGCTAGCGTATAATTCCGGCCTAGCGCTTCTAACTGGCCAGTCGTGCGGTTTGGACTCATCAATCGATGTTACACCTCTACGAGAAAGGACCGAAAAAATTCGGCCCCAAGCCCTTGAAATAGCCATCATGAAAGGAAGGAATAAAAATAATTTATAAATATGCAGTTCTGCAAGTTTGATTTTTCAGCAACCAGGCAAATATTGCTCTAAGACAAATTCTACTTTGAGTAGGGCACCTGTAGACGGATACCTTATCCGTGCATGAGCTTTACGTCTCTATTGTAAGAAAGCTCAGAAAATCGAAGGTGCGACGCATGGACGATTGAAAGTTCGTGGAAAATACCTATTCAAGAAAAGTGCGTTTTAACTTCAGGGACGTTTCCCTCTAACGGTGTAGTCTTGGCAGCAAACATATATTCTTTTAATTTAGAGTTAGATTCTTTGTTAAAACTCTGCATCTGCAACACCTGTTTTTTGAAAGTTACAGAATTTATATTCTGCTGGTCAAAAAGTGATAATTCTGACCCTAGCTCATTCCCGCTCCGAAGCTCAAACAATTTTTTTTCAGTCCCAAAAATATGTCGGAAAATATATGGACTGTCGGAATGTAAAGAAATATGACTTATGAGGAAATTATTTTCCAGCAATAGCGCGTTTTGTCTTTTTCTAGTGTAAAGTCTATGAGTGTCCTGTGCTGCCATTGCAAGTGTCTTTACGTAATGGAGGCTGGTGGCACCATGGCTAGCAAATGGCCCAACTTGGCCTTCGTTGTCGCAAGACTTGGCCAGGTTTGTCTGATCGTGCCGATTTGCCCACCAAATCGGCCAATTACCTGAATAATTAATTCTGCTCACCATTTTTCGAGCGAACCGACAACCTTGGGTTCGGTTAATTACTTCGCGAAGGGGACTCTCGCTGTTGTCACATTTAAACAAGCAGCGAGAAGGAGGGAGGGGGGTAAACAAATCTCTGCTACCCCTCTGAGTAATGAAAACTTTTAAAGTCAGAGACTACATTGTTTGGAATTGAATTCATGGGCAGAAATATAATCAAGAAATTCGCCACGAGTAAGGGCAAGCAAGACTGCTAACCTCCAATTTAATTCAAAATAATTACCTTCATTCCGCTGCGGATTCTCTTTTTCACATAGATCGTCACCTTCCGGCCAAAGTATGGCAAGCACCATGCAACGTTTTACACCGGAAAAAAAAAGACGCTTGGATCTGGATTGCAGAATCTTGAAAATAACGACAAGAAAAAATACTCTTGATTCAATCGTATTTTTGGTTAGATTGAGAACCAAGCCTCTTAATTCAAGCGGATTTCCTTTTGATCCAGGCAAAAATCCGATTAAATCAAGAGTATTTTTTCTTATCATTGTTTTCAAGAGTCTGGCCTCTAGATCCAAGCGACTTTATTTCCAGGGCAACATTTCTGCCGCCAGTTTATTTTTTTAGAGAGAAAGTGTGGGTTGAAACAGTTTGAAAATTTCACTGACTTTTATCGGCAGCTCAAAGAAAATGCAGTGAAATTTTCAAACAGATTCAACCAACAATTTCTCAGCAAAAAAATAAAATGGGCACGAAAATTTTTTGACGTCGAATGGCGCTTGTGATACTTCAGCCGGAATGTGATGGTATATGAACCAAATGTTCACCAAATCGGTGAATGAAATAATTTTTGCGATCGAAAATAGAGAGATTTTACTGACCTTGATGTGGCGGTCAATGAGCCAGTTGAGTTCGATGTCATCGTCGTCTTCGCCAAATGGGCCAATTAAAACTTCAGCGACTTTCAACCAGCCGATGTAAAATGCAAACTGAAATCAATTTCATTCAAATTTGTTGTTAACATTAATAAAAAAGGGGGATTTCGGAACAGAGTGTAGTCTGGGCTAAAAACCGATGTTGCGCGAAAATTCCAACTCTACATTTAAAATTTCCAATTTCATTTCCCTGCTCTCTCTCCCCCCCCCCCCCCCNTGAAGGCAAACTCTCTGACGGCTAATACTGTACGTAAAAAGTGAATCATTAAACAATCGCATTCATTTGACAGTAACCTGCTTCATCATTCATCTTAAAATAGCGCACAACTCGGCTTCCGAAGTTTGCTCGACAACTTAGCGCAGAGAATGAGAGCTTTAGACTATTTAAGTCTGTGATAGACTATTTATGGTCACGTCTCACTAATACCAATAGACGAACAGTGCCGTTCTGAAACTCGGGCAAGGTGTGCAAATCTATGACTCACAGCCTAAAGTCAACAGTAAACCGAAGCGTTCCAGAGCCATTGGAGTATACTTTCAAGGAGTATACGCAGGCGAGTTTTATATTTCTCTCCTGTGCTATAGGGAAAAACGCCTTATGAGCGTTTGGATGATGCCAAATCTCCTCAAAGAAAAGATTTATTTTTGAAAGAGTAGTACATATTTTTCCTAGAAATTTTGAGACAATTTAGATCAAAGCACGAAGGAATTTCTCTGGAAAATCGGAAGGAAAATATTTACAAATTTTCTAAAAAATTCGTGATTTATCAAATTACATTTGACAACGTCTGAAGGCTTATACGGCGTTTTTCCTTAGAACGGCAGTTCCTTGCGTGACTTCGGCTAATATCTTTCACTGACATGTTTCGAGGAATAGTTTTGTGACGTTCATGGTCAATTTCATAAAAGTTGAAATGGAGTGTTGTACTAGTCACAGTATTGTTTTCGGTCATTTCAACTTGAAATGTAGTCATACAATTTATCAGATCAGTCATAACGTCAGCTTTCTGCGTCCAATAGTATCAGAGATATCAACAATCGAAAAACACGGCATGTGACAGCATCCCCGCGGCAGTGAATACCGCGGTTGATAAAACTAAGATGGAAGAAACCATGGTGTACACACACCAGGGTGGATACTATCGTACGCCGGGGGTTTTTTTTTGGGGGGGGAGGGGGGATGAGCGATATCTATGTTAATATTGGGCTTGGAAACTTTGCGTTTGAACAGATCTGAGTATTTCTTGCTAATCTGTCAACTTCAGCCATCAAAACACGATTCTGCGACAAACACAAGTGGTTCTTCGCTTCAACAAGTACTAATCGGCGGTGATATTGCAGAGATGTGAATCTCGCTCTTATTTCTTTACATCAAAAGAGAACGAACCAAAATTTTTGCTCGAAATTTTCACAGAATGCTTTTCCCACGGAGAATAAAACTGAGGAAATTTTCAGAAAAAGACGATGAGGATTTTCTATTTAAAACATAAATTATAACAAGAAGTCTGCACATTGCCTTTCGAACCGAGATTAGCTTTTTGAGGTTTCACTAAAAAAAGAATAATAATTTATGAAAAAAAAAAATGACGAGCGTATGCGACTGTTGATTTCAAAGTTCAGTCATCAATACGTTTAAATTTATTTGACGACTGTATAAAATGAAGGGTCTGTGACGGAAAAATATAGCGATGCTTACCTCTAATACCAAAATAATAGGAAAATAAGTATCTAGATTCTCAAGCCCGGACCTTTTACTGAGCCCGAACGGTTGAGCAGCCATTAGTTCAATTAAAAAATACGAGTAGACCGCTAGGGTAACCACCTGAAAGAAGAAAATTGCGGAATAAAATTACCACTCAAGTAAACCTTTGAAAGAAAAATGAGTTAAAGGGTTTTAATTTCATAGTGTATTAATTAAAATACAAACATTATAGGATACAAACCAAGTGAAGATATGAAGCACCTTAGCGTTAAAAGTTGCCCAACTTCCAAGAAAAGCTCCAGGTGACGGCAAAAGAGATACCTCTGCGAAGTTTTCGTCCAAAATCCGTTGATGATCGTGAGTCCAATTTAAAGAGTAGATAATCTCATGGAGTCAAAGGAGCGTAGAAGATGGATCCAAACGATATAGGCAGTTCAGTCATAAACAAGATTCATAAATTCATATTTGACATATTTCCTTACCTGTCCCAAAACCGATCCTGTTTTATTTGTTAGATGAATTCAGCAAATTATAGCATACTTAGGTAAGTACATCTCATTGAAACGAAGAAATATATGAGAACCAGACAGGTGTAATTCAACAGAGGTAATCAGAGAACAGTATTCATGTTTGAAGAAACAAAGGAAGGAAGGATTTGATTAGACCAGACAATTATTGAAAGAAGTTTGCGTATGGTTGAAAAATCCGATTTCCAGTATTACGCATTTTATGGACATCCCCCTATGTTTTCTATGTACGTGACTTCAGGTAGATCTCTCTCCAAGTCAGCAACATTCTAAATCTGGAATATATTTATTTTGAATCGGACAGGATTCCGGGCTCCAGCTGGGTGCAGAAACTTCATTAAACTTCAAACTTCAAACTTCAACGTGTGCATTATTATATGGCCGCTCGCGTGAAAAAATAGGAGGACTGTAAAAATTGGAGAAAGGCAATGCCATAAAAGCATAAAAACGGCGTGTTTCTTAAAAAATCAAGGTGAAATCCGCATGTTTTTCGTAAAATCTCGTTAAAATTAGCGTTATTTGCAAAATTGCGGTCATTTGTGAATTAAGGACAAAAAAAGGTCACTGGATTAGACAATTTTTAGGAAAAGGGGAATTTTGAAATTGGAAGCATAATTCAAACAATCGAAAGGCCAAGAACTTTCTGCACCCCTGCTAGGCTCATTGGAGATCGAATGAGAGGTCCTCGACGATTTTTCAGAAAATTTTCATTGATTTTTCCGATGTTCGTGATATTGATAGACGCTATTAGTGATGACGCCAGCATATGGATTCTTCACGGATTTTCATGTTAGGCTAGTGTTAGGCAAGACAGCCGTAAATGCTATCTTCTGCATGCTCTCGTGGTTGCGTTTTGGACACACAACAAACGCATCTCCAGGTTAGAAACTCACAGAAGAGGGCGGCACTCTACTTGAAAGCACTGTTCTTATTGGCTCTCTGGAGAAATAATATAACTTACTGTTGTCTTGCCTGAAACTACGTCATTTTTGGCGCACTTACGGCTTTCTCATATGAGTCGTTTTGATACAATTAAGATTAATTTCGCTGTTTTAGTTCTTTCAGTGATTTCATCTAAAAGAGATAAGCCGAATTTTGAAGGAAACTCGATTTCAAAAATTTGACACTCATTGCTCTATTCTAGGGAGTCGACTAAAACTGGCTGGCCAAAATTCAGTACTTTTTCAGTACATTCCCAAGCTATTCAGTACCTCCTCAACAGAAAAAATCAGTACTTTTTTAGTATCTCCATTCGACACAATTCGAGAGATTTCAAACATTTCAATTTCTCGCTTAGAGTGCGACAAAAATGACAAAAAAATGAAATAAATTCCGGACCTTCTAGCGGAATCTCCGCACTTTTTTAGTACTTGCGGACCGCCCTTAAAAAATCAGTACTGTTTCCGGACTTGTAGGAACCCTGCTCTTCGCTATCACGGCACTCTGATTAACAGAGAGACTAAATGATTACATATTGATTTTGCGGGCCCTGGTAAGAATTGGCAGTAGAGTGTGTGTTCCAAAATACTATAGACCAAAAGCCGGCTGTAAGATTTCCAGTAGCTTCTGTAGCCGACTGTACAATTTCTTATAGCCTTTTATAGCCGATGGCGATTAAGCAACAGCCAGACGATAAAGTGTATGCTAAACGCTACTAATTACGGATACTAGGACCTAGTTAGTTCTCGGACTACCGCTCTCTTTTTGTGCCGTAGTGTATTGATTTATTTTGCGAGGAAAGCTCCGTACTTTTGAAGGATGCCTGTCATTCTGAATATGTTGGAGCGCCTTCAATTTTTTATGATACTGTGCAATACCTCTGTTGTGAAATAGTTGCTTCAGGCCGTGGCACGCTGCGGTGCGGCAGGCGGGCAGAGAGCGCAAAACGCGCATTGGCGCCTACAAACCTAACAGGGATACTTTACGCATTGCGCAATGCGTGAAGTATCCCTGTTAGGTTTGTAGGCGCCAGTGCGTCGCCGCTCCGCTTTGTGTTAGGCTCTAATATTTATTCTGGCGGAGTCAGCGTTTTTCAACTCATGATTTTGAAACGTATGCACACTCTGTATGGACTATTCTCATTTTAATTGATGAAAAAAAAATATGTTTTAAAGGTAAATATAAAATGTGTTCTGTAAATATTAAGGTAGTTCCGTATCAAACTTAATGATTTCCAACGCACACGAATTTCTACACAATTTCTTTTAGCCTTTTATAGCCAATGGTGATAAAGTGTAAAGCCCGGCGATAGGAACTATAGCCCGACTGTATACTTTTTTATATCTTCGTATAGCCCGGCTATATGATTTGCTCCGCTTTCTACAGTCAGCTATATGATTTTTAATAGCCTTCTTTAGTCGGCTATAAGAACTCCTATGGTATTTTGAAACGCAGCTCCTATCGCCAATTTTTACCAGGGGGACGTAGCACGAATAGCGTCTATTTGAGGGTGGGTTGGTGCATTACCTGAGTATAGACGAGAGGGATGTTGACGTTGTCGTATCCGATGAGGCCTCCCAGGCGGATCCGGATGTCGGACATCTCGAGGAGGATCGTCTGGACCATGTGGTCGCTCAGGATGAGCGTCTCCTTCCGCGCTCGGTTGATAATGTTCACCGCCCAGGTGAGCGGCAGCCAGTACTTGGCCATCGGGTGCCGCTCATCAAGCATCTCAAAAATTTTCTTCTCACTCTCCATCATCAGACCTGAAGCCCAATCCACGGGCCAAATTCAAAATTAGCCTCTCTACCCTCCATTTCGAGGACCGCCCTCCTCAAACCATAAACCAATTAGTGGTTCATGTGGAACACCACTGATAGTAGTAAAGGCGAATAATAGCACATATCGACGGTGTGAGTCGGCAATCACATAACTCGGTTTGCGACGTCGCAGACTTTCTATCATACTTTATTTTTTAAACGGTAAACTACTCAACGGCAATTCTTTAAAACTGCCGTGATTTTTCCTCTCTGTGCGAAGAAAATTCTGCAAAAACCTCAAGGGATGATGTCAATTTGTTCTCCTTTAAGAAAATAACTTAGAGACGGAGATTTTCAGACACCGCAAACGAGTTATGTGATTGCCGACTTACACCGTCGATATACCTTAGTGATTTTGTATATACCTTAGTATGGTGCGAGATACCTTAGTATGGTTCACAGACCGAGAATCATTATTTCATTCACGACTATTAGTGGCGTTCCATATGAACCACTTGTTAAGTCGTAAAGCCATAAATTTTTCTCCAAGCTCCTCATGGATTGAGGATTTAGCTTACTGCACGATGACGTGTATGGAAATATTTCTAGAATATCTCTAAAAACAGTAAAATATTTCAAAGATGTCTCTTTAAAACGGGGGACTAAATTCATTATTTAAAAAAAAGGATGTTAAAACTTCAGGGAGATAAGTCATACTGACTAATTGTCGACCTCCTGATATCAGAGCGTAACTACACTCTACAATGAACTTTGTCGTCCATAAAACTCAATGCTTTTTCGGGCTCATTTTAAAGTGTACTTACGCCTTTTTGTCAATCTTTTTTTTACGATATGTGAGTTAAAATTTTTAAAGTAATTTTTAATTATTTTAAAAACATTAACGACAAATTTTATTTGTGCTTTTTGAGCCATTTTCAATTGAAACACCTCTCCGTGTAGCTCTATCGAGAGTTTGCAACGGACCAGTACCCGAGAGAAAAATCTATGGACCGGAAATAATTTTACAAAATGTATTGTTTTTGTGTTAGGCTCAAGAAATTGTACTCTTTTCACGCTTTTCAAGGAAGAACTGATGAGAGCTCCTCGTTTTTCCAAGACCTCAACCTCGAGCGTCACGGCGCACAGTGGATCGAGTAAATCAGAGAGGTCGGACAGTAACTTTTTTTACTAAATCTGCAAATTGTGATGTTAAATTCGTCAAATTTTAAAGATCAAAAGGTGCTTCTGGAAGAAAATTTTACGGGGAAACCAATGAAATCACTTCCAGAACCTCAAAGTTTGGTATAAGCTGAGTTATAAGCTTTGAAAGGTTCCAGAATTTGTCCGGTCTCTCCCATTGACTCGATCCACTGTGCGGCACAGCCAATAGCGTGCACGATGTTCAGTCGATTGGTGCGTCAATTTTCACGAAACGTGCTCAGTGTGAGCCGCTAACTGGCGTATGATTAGCGTTGCGGCCGAATCTGTCTTTTCGCACGGAAGTTTCCTCATTCTACCGAGTTATTCTGATCCACGGTGATTAGGAGAAAAACAAGCTCCGACTCATAGTCAGCCAGGAACCCGATGAAAAAGTTTGCACTATCCGCGTGACCGAATAAGTATTGACTCACCATGCGATCCATGGAATCACCGAACCTAATGGATCGTATTCGATACATCGAACAGGTGAGATTGTATCGATATCGATTGGTTCAACATAACCTCAAAAGTCAATTGAGTAATGTAAGGGAACGGGTTTTTTTGTGATAGGTTTTTGATTCTTATAAGTGTAGAATTGTAATGAGAAGTGAAATGGTTAGGAATTTTCTCATTTTCAACTGTTTCTACTTAAATCCTAAAATTTTTATTTGAGGTTATGTTTTATTGTTTTGAACCAAACGATACATCGAATACGGTCTATATTGGGATCGAGATTGAGCATTGGATCGCCATAACTTCGGTTGGAAACTCGTGGTGGTAGAACTTTAATTTAAGGGAGAAAGTAAGTTTTAGCAATTTTTAGGCACTTTTTTTTATATTTGTTGAGGTTCTAACCCCCCCCCCCTCTCTCTTCCCTCTCTTGAAAATTTTACATAAAAACTAATTGAAGCGCTGGATGCAGAAAGGGCATTCCTCGGTTGAGATGTCGCAGGGTCTTAGTTAACGTTTCATACACTGTAGGTAATTAAAGCAAACTCGTGGAATTTGTTAAAACTTTTTTACTGAATTTTCCCACGATTTTACAATGCTGAAAACCAACATTTAGAAAATTCACTCGATAGTTTCCTCTCTAAACTATACATTAGCAGTGGAGATCCTGAAACACAGCAACCAAAATATGCCCTTCCTACACTCAACGCCTCAATTTAGCCCCCTCCCAGGAGATTTTTAAACTGCTCCCAAAAACTTTTGTCCCCTCCTACTATTGAGCCCCTTGACTCCCCTCTCCTCACCTGAAGTGTTTTGATACTTCGACCGAGGTACCGAAGAAGTACTCCAGATGTGTGACCTGAACTTCGGCAACTTGGACCTCAAGTTTCCGAATTCATGATCCGAAAACTTCAGAGATTCTTGTGACCTGAACTTCGACACCTGGACCTCATGTTTCCGAATTCATGATCCGAAAACTGCAGCAATTCTTGTGACCTGAACTTCGACACCTGAACCTCAAGTTTCCGAACTCATGATCCGAAAATTTCAGCGATTCTTGTGACCTAAACTTTGGGTCCCACAGGCACAAGCGAAGTTTTTTTCCATGGCGCTGGCTAGAAACGGCCATGATTCGGGGCCAGCCACGAATGTAAACAATCGAGCGACAGGAAACCTAAATATCCGACTGATAGGAAGAATGACAGTCGAGGGGGGGGGAGNAGGGGGAGGGGGGGCGCGTGTCATGCACCGTGTCAGGTGATATTAGCGCGTGTGAACTGCCCTTCTAATTAAGGATTCCACCTGCAAAGCGGACAGCGCAGAAGCGGTCGACCACACATCCGACATTCAACATCCAGCATCGAACGGCGAACATCGAACATCGAACAAGGACGCACCGTCCCATTGCATAATGCACAATGCAGAGAACACAATGCATCTCAGTTGGTGTCTATCCGTAAATCGCGCCGCGCGCCGGTGCCGCTTTACATGAAATAATGAGGGAGGAGAGGTCCTAAATGGACGTATTTATGCCAAACGAAACTATGTGAACTAAGACATGATCCCTGAGGCCCATAAGAATATATGCATGACAGGGCTCACGTGATGATGCACGTAGTTCCGTTTGGCAGAAATACGTCCAAATATGCTTCCGAATTTGATTGAACCAGTTCGACCACGAAAATCGATTAATAATCAACCTAGATTAGCTCGGACTAATAATCTAAGATATGCAATAAGCTGAGACACAAGTTAAGTTCGGAGCACAGGTGGAACTAGGAGGGGAAAGGGGCTAAAAAATCTATTTATTGACTTTTCCCAAGAAATGGAAGGGATTTTGCTATTCGAAAGCGTGACATATTGGGTCTTTTAAGGTGGAGGAGATCGGGAGATGCCAATGGCTTGATGATCTCTGGGAGGATAAGGGGCAATGGGGATTGGGCGTCGCAGAGCGCGAGGCTGCGCTGTGAAAGCGGCTTAATGTATGTAAGCGTGACATATTTATGCTTCGAACTTTTGCTTCAACAGATCACATATAGCTTGGATTGTTACCGCGAGGTTTCGAAAATTCATCGATCGACTCGGATGAGGTCTGAGTCCATGATCCACCCATCTGTTTACTTCCGAGTACCATCTAACGTCAAGACTGTCCTATCTTCAAAAGTGAATGGGTAAAATTCGTTTGAAGGGACATTTAAAAAAAAAAAAAAATTAATCTATAAAATAAAATTAATCGAAATAGCCTGACAACAGCTCAAATTTTCAACACGAGGGTTTCAACATCAAAATTATGTGATTTTTGTTTTTATCATTATATTATTTTTTAGCCTGTTTTTCATATGTTGCGATAGTTCAGTTTGATTTGAAGTTTTTCGAGCGTGCACCAACGTGCAATTTAGTTCTAAACTTATTTTGCAATTTATTAGAATGCGCGAGTTGGATAGGTCGAATTTTATTTAGTAGGCTGATTTTTGATTAAATGTACTTATAATTTACTTTCAGTTACTACAAAAAACTGAAGGTTTTGCTCAGAGGGCCGTGCCATCAGCAAGCTCTTCTTATGGCGTTTTGATATTTTAAAAGCATTGTTATACAAAAAGTGTCCACGGTTTTGTAAATTTTAATAGGTAATATAGTGGTTCGCTAATCCCAAAACAATGACATGGTCGGTTTTTTTCGCATGTTCCGTTCAGAGACAATACCGAATAAAACCCTGAATTCGGAACCACATTAAAAAAATAGTTTCCAAAAAGAAAATGGAGGGAGGCTAATTTCAAATCTCATGATGGAGAGTGAAACATAGACGATGCTAACACATATCTCACAAAGAGGGAGATATTCTAGAATGTGACTTAAAAATTTCTACTTACCAACACCATCAAACGACCTGAAAGATCGCTCCAGATTTCCACATTATCTAGGCCCTCGTAGCGTGGTAAAGGTTAAGTATGAGTATGAAAGAAATGAGAGCTATGTAGGTACGACTCATCTTGAGAGACGTGAACTGGTTGAACATCCCTCGAAAAATGACGGACATTAATTAAATAAAGTTTAGCTGAATGTTCTGTGAGAGATAAAATGGGAGGTATTCGATAATGGTCGTCGATTAAACAGTCGGGAAACTTGCGTCTGAGGGTCGAAAATATTTTGCTCGAGAGGAAAATATGGGCAAAAAGGGTTCTCAGTATATTTAGCTTTCAGGCGTGTAATGTTTTTTACATAACCAAAACTTTGAAGTGTCAGGTATCTGTATAAATCTATGCAAAACTTGAGGAACCGAATGTTGAATTCAGGCACTTGGTGGTTGAAAGTTTACAAACGTTTTTACAACCGTATTTTATTTTTTTTCAACTCTT